GCACAGTGATGTCTGATTTTTGCCTGCATTCAAGGCCAAGTCCATAATCTCCAAGACAGTGTCCTTGCCCCCAAAGAAGAGCTTTCTCCTGTCAACGACAAGCTCAGGGATCCCTTGGAGTCAACTGCTAGCACTTCAGAGGCAAACAGCCTATTGCTCCTCCTCTCGCTTTCTCCAGATTTGAGGACTGAGGAGACAGAATACCGCCTGGTTACCTGTTCCACAACCGCACATTGCAAACAGGAGGGGAAAGTCTGGACGCATTGCTATTTGATGGTGTTTTACCAAAAAGCTTTTTGAAAACAGCTCGCCTCCCCATTTAACAATTTCTAATAAACTAAGCCTAAAGCTAGACGGAAAGTCCTGACACTAATTCCCTCAATTTCACTTCTTTTTGTCTCATTTTCCTTCTTCACGATAACGTGACAGTTCCACTGCTGGTATTTCTCAGGATATGTGTGATAATCTTTTGTGAGACACTTGAAAATTGCAGTTAAATGCAAACTTGCTGCCGAACAAAGCTGTACAGAATACAGAAATGTCCTTCCCTTGCCTCCTCCACTTCAGTAAAAGAGAATCAAGAATTACTATTTTCTCCCTGCTGGTTTGTGGTGTGAGATAGCGAGGCTATGAAACTAGCTGATCCCACGAGTGGGAGGACTGACTACAAAGAGAACTCTTTTCTTCTGATATTGTTTCCAGCAATGGTACAATTAACTTAAATTGTGGCTATCTTTTCGCCAGTGGGCTTCATGTATTCAGGCTAAGGGTAGTGGCTAAGGGAACATTACAATTTCCTGAAAAAACTGCACACTAGCAGCCTTCCCTTGAATCGCCTGCCATCGCTTACCCTTCGCTAAACCAGGGACACGAAGGCAGTGTGTTACCTATGCTAGGGGACCTCCTTCACGCCCAAGTCTGTGCCGTGGCAAGCTTGGGGTGGGGACAGGGCTCTGACACACACGTCGATGGACATACTGAGCTTGAGGCAGTTTACCCAGTAAAGATCAGGAGAAATTGTGCACAAAGTGACAGGAAGGGACCGATCCTGGTCATCTCTACTATTGGGGTAGTTCTGCTAATTTTGGAGAAAGCTGAGCATGTAACAAACAGGGAAGCATTTTTAGACATTACACTTTTGAACTCCAGGAACCCCAGAGAATGTAAAATCTCCTGCTGGGCAGAGACTGCGTGGGGAAGTCAGAGGCCTGTTTTTAACATAACCTTGAGAAAGCCAGCAAGGAGAGCTAGCTACCCTTGAATTTTCTTCCAACCCCTGGTTCCCCACATTTCATTCTGTCTCTACTTCTGGCTGTAATAGTGAGGCTTTGGGGCTGCAGTGGTCTCAGAACATAACCAAGGTGATATTTGTAAGGACAGGTCCTAGTTTTTATTAAATTAAGTTGTGTCTTTGGGGTGAAAAAACAGACAGATTTTCAGGCACACAAGCTCACCTCCGTGTCACCAAAAAGTCAGTGTGCCTAGAAGTGTGTCTGGGCTTTTTCTAGCTATATCTGTCTAGTTGAAGACATGACACCTCCCTTCAACACCCCTCTCCTTGATTTGATGGCAGCTCTCTCCCCAGTAAAGCCTCCTCTTACCCCATCTCCATTCTGACAGCTCTCCCAATCTCGTCTGGACCCACTGCGGTTTCATACATCCACTTCCACCTTTCTTCTCTTTCCTCTCACCCTGCCCCACCACCTCCTTAAGGCCTCCCTGAGCTGATCCCCTGGATCCCCTACCCTTCCTACGCTGAAGCCCCTTTGACAGACCCCCGTCAGGCAGGAGCAGTTCCACAATATCTTCTGCAAGGCAAAGCCACTGGAGGGATTCCTGTCCAGCCAAAGACGTTTTCTCTACTGGGCACTGCCCACTAACTGTGCAGTGGGGCTGTGCTGCTGACGATATCGCTGCAGCGATCAGGAGTAAAAAACAACCCTCAGAAATAAAGCGCCTTTCAGCTTTGATCATCTCAGCGATAGGGTTGAATCTGCTGCCTGGCATGCAGCTGCAGAGGCAGAGCCAGGGGGATGAAGCGGGGATGGGAATGAAAGGTTGAGGCCGAGAACCACTTAGGGTATCTGTGCCCCACGGAGAACGCCGGTGGGTCGGGAAGGAGCTTTCTCGTCAGTAAGGGAGCAGTCAGCGTACAACAGGTGATATTTTTCCCTGCAGTACATAATAACATGGCATTTTGTGAGCTTTGCCCGCAGCTGCCTGTGCAGAAAATGTGGGAACATTTTGCAATATTTCTAATGGTGGTGTGTCACAGCGTTCTCCAGTTCTGCACGAGTGCTTAAAAGGGACAGGAACAAGTTAGGACCCTGTCCTCGAGGGGAAAAGAAAAGCATGGGAAGGAAAATTCTCAAGCATTTGCCTCGAGAAATCAAGAACTGAAGGTGGCAGCACCCTGCAGGCATGCAGAGCTTAGCAGCACAGCGAAGGGAGACACATGGACGGGATGTTTCTGCAACTGCAGTGAAGACCGAGGAGAGCCCCTGGAAGAAGGGTGCTGGGAGGAGGGGGAAGGATTTCTAGCAGTGCTCTGCAGAACAGTGAATTTCCTCATATTTAATCTTGGCTAAGGGCTGTGGTAAAGAGTAGGAATGCCTTCGATAGACAGGACGAGAGGAGAAAAATAATGCCCCGGCCTTCTGCCTAGCACAAACCTTATGGACATTTGAGCTGCCGCTGAATCAACATGAATCAGCCCGATTATACCACAGAGCGTAACCATGATGTAAACTGAGGTGATGCAGCAGCTGACTCAGAGGCACCTTCCACATCCAGGGTGAGGCACAGAGCTGGGGACAGCAAGCTGTCAGCCAGCCCCAAATAAACTCATAAAGCTTGGGCAACAGGCCCAAGGGATTTTGCCCTCTCTGGTTCAAATAACCAGTACGTATCATGCCAACCTGTAATGTGCAAAGGCTCGCTGACTTCCTTCAAAAGAGCAAGTCCTCCTTCAGGATTGATTTGTCTCACCAGTGAGGTCACTGACAACAAGCAAAGGTGCTGTGACTACAGCCTGGCTCACCACACTCAAAGCAGACAGGGGCTGGTCGTTACGTAGGATCTTAGAATCATAGAATTGTTTAGGTTGGAAAAGACCTTTAAGATCATCAAGTCCAACCGTTAACCTAACCCTGCCATCCCACCACTAAACCATGTCCCTAAGCACCTCACTACCCGTCTTTTAAATACCTCCAGGGATGGGGACTCAACCACTTCCCTGGGCAGCCCGTTCCAATTCTTAATAACTCTTTCTGTGAAGAATTTTTCCTAATGTCCAATCTAAACCTGCCCTGGTGCAGCTTCAAACCATTTTCCCTTGTCCTATTGCTTCTTACCTGTGAGAAAAGACCAACAGCCACCTCGCTACAGCCTCCTGTCAGGCAGCTGTAGAGGGCAATAAGGTCTCCCCTCAGCCTCCTTTTCTCCAGACTAAACAACCCCAGTTCCCTCAGCTGCTCCTCATCAGACTTGTGCTCCAGACCCCTCACCAGCTTTGTGGCTCTCCTCTGGACATGTTCCAGCAACACAATGTCTTTCCTCTAGGGAGGGGCCCAAAACTGAACACAGTATTTGAGGTGCGGCCTCACCAGTGCTGAGTACAGGGGCATGATCACTTCCCTGCTCCTGCTGGCCATGCTATTCCTGGTACAAGCCAGGATCTTCTCTGAGGCTGAAAAGTAGCCAGGAACATGTGTAAAGACTTGTGTCACTAGCAAGAGCTGCTTGACAGGACATAAACAGAAATCTAAGAGACTATGCAATGGACTATTCTGAGCCTTTAAAAAGCAGCTCTGTGCAGGGGTTGCTGCGTGAACCTCACCGTGGACATCCGGCAGCAGAGCCACATGAGGCAGCAAACCATGATACAAAATAATAAAGAACACATCATATTTCAGTGGCATCAGTTTCCCAGTCCAGTCTCTCACACGGTGACATGAACAGCTGTGTTGGCATGGAGAAAAGGGCCATCTGGCTTGAGATCTCAGCTGGGATCAGGTCTGCCACTGGGGAATTCTCCTTGAGACTACATCCCTGAGCTGCCCAAGAAGACTTGGCCCTCCGCTATACTTCTCTGAAGTACAGTTTCTCTGAAATATCCCTCACGTGCTGCAGATAATAATTTGCTGTCAGCTTGTAAGGAACGCAACTTACGTGCCTCTCCCCGTGTAATACCCAGTGCTTGCGGGCATGCAAGAAATGCAGGCAGAGCCATAACAAGAAGGTTTGGGAGCATCCATCTCCCAGACCATCTTACTGTGGTGCTTCTTCATGCCTTTCTCACTCCTGCTAGCTGCCACCAGGGACCTGCAGGCCCGTGTCTGGGTAGCAGCAGCTACTGGTATGCCTTTACACATCACCCTGGCTGTACAATCCCCAGGTTGTGACACCTTCCTTGAAGCCCCCACGTGGCTGATGCCCGCCTTGGCCTGGGTCTGGCCATGGCTCTGCATGAAGGGTAGATGAGGTGCTCAGAGATGTGGTTTAGTGATGAAATAGCAGGGTTAGGTACACGGTTGGACTTGAGGATCTTAAAGGTCTTTTCCAACCTAAATGATTCTATGATTCTATGTCAGTATGCTTCCGTACTTCCTCACCACAAGCTCCTCTCTTCAGTGCAGATCAGATCCAGACAGAGCTAAACATGTTCCTGTTAGCAATAGGATGAGGCTCTCGGATCCCCGTTAAACCTGGACACAAGTGAGGCCTGTAGTAAGCCAGGCGTGAGAACCATCTCACTAAAACTTTTGGTGCCTTTAACATAAACATGCAAAACTGAGCTAGTTGTCCAGACAATATTTTACTGTAGTGGAGAAGCACTTCTGGAGTACAACTCATCTGAATTAATTTATATATGTACCTTAGAATGGGATGACCCATGTATTACAAAGTGTTTATTCCTCACCATTGAATCCATCAATGAGTCCCATTCTAGATATCAAACAAGTGGAGCTCTATTTGCTTGCACCATTTCTTACAAATACCCACTTGGATACATTTATATCAGCTTGGAACTGATTTATTCCAGTTTCATTTGCATAGTCGGAGTTCATTTTCACTAAAACACAGAAAAACTTTAGAATTGGGTCTCCCACCTAAACTTTCATGTATACTAAAAATATTTTTTTTTTAATTGAAATTGTGCAGGCTGCTGAAAAAGTGAGCTACATCACTCTGAGGGCTGGACACAGTGCTTCTCTTTGGCCTTGGGTCTCTTTGTGCACTATGCTGTGGCCTTTTTGAATATTGCCTCCCTGGAAAGCAGCAGGGGCTGATGGAGCTGGAATACCAGGGGGGACACCTCGGATGGGTGGGAACTGTGGACTTCAGCACTTTCTTCATATCTGCATTACTGCAGCTGGAGTGGGGGCTACCTTGTCTTTTGCTCCCTCTGCATTTTGCGCATGAGGCCAGGCACCTGGAAAGGAACATCGCGCTCAACACCAGCATCACAGCAGGGAAGAAGGAAACAGAGGTATATATTCAACACAGCTGTGCAATCTACTACCAGCACACTGTGGACCTGATCTTGAGGAGATGATAGATGGCTTTCAGGGATAGTCCTGCACCACAGAAGGCGCTGCCTGCCTTGTCACTGGCTATGGAAGATCAGGCTCAGTAGCATCGATACCACAGGGAGTTTGACAGTGGTGCAGGTATGGGTTGTCTAGTGTTTCTACATAGACGTCATCCTTGCAGTTTTCACATCATTTACAATTAAGCTGCAACAAATCAAAACACAACAGTCTTTATGCATGCCACATTTGCAATTCTTATTTAGGACAAAGCAGAAAAGAATAAAGAAAAGTTGCAACAGTGTTCTTACTAAATAAAAATTGGGTGGATGTGATCTGGCTTTTACTATGTTGAGCATGCCCGATGGTCAGAGGGCCTCCATCTCTGTTGGGTAGCATTGATCTTAGCTTTGTATTCGTGCTCTTGAAGAAATGCATGCAACAGCATAACAGAGTCAAAGGCTGCCTGAAACAGGTTTTAAGTTTGAGCCACAGGAACCACAGAATAATTGAGGTTGGAAGGAACCTCTGGAGCTCACCTAGCCCAATCTCCTCCTCGGAGCAGGTCCATCGCCCGGTCACTTGATCAGGTTTGCCCTTGATCTCAGAGCACTTTCCTGGGACTGAGACTTTGGCACCCATGATGCTTTTGCCAGCTGAAGCCATCCCTACTTCACCTCCAGTCCTGGTTCTGTCAGTGCCCTCCCAGCACAAACATTTATGTAGTCTCCTAAGGAAGTGATTCAGCTGAAATATAATATGTACTGCCAATATAATAATAATAATTTTTGTAGCTGGAACGGTTCCCCAGTCCAACTTATTCTACAGTCCTACTCACAACTGTGCAGGCATGGCGTAGGGAGAGCCAGACAAGGACAAGCAGCCAAGAGGAGGAAGGGAAAGGAGGAGGAAAGGGCAAGGAAAATGCTTGCCTGAGCCAGAGCTGCAGATTAATGAATTCTGTGCCAAGCCCAACCCTCAGAGAAGCGAAATTCAACTCCCGTTCAAGCCCCTTCACAACTACAGTTTCCTCTTCTGTACAAGGGGGGTGGGGGTGGGGGCTGACTTCAGAAAGTTTGTAGATGAAAGATGAAAGGCATGATAGTTATTGCTTATTGACTATTTTCACACGCACTGAACTTACTGGGAAAACTCTACCAAATGTATAGGAAACAGATGAATCCGTACATCTGTTAGAAAGGAGAAGCAAGCATAAAGTTGGCCTGAAGAGAAGTATAAAAGAAATTAAATTTTCCAACTGAAATACCCAGACTGGCTGAGCTACAGAACCTGGGGTGTCTCCACCCAGAATCTTTTGGAAAGGCACTTTCTTCAGAATTGGATCAAGCCTGAACAAAGCTGGAATGAACACACCTTGGCTCCAGCTTTCCCATTTTCACAGTATTTCCGTATTTGTCAAAAGGGTTCAAAATGTTATTCCAAATAACTGACAAGGAGAGCAACCACTGATCAAAATAATCTGAGTAAATTCCAGAGTAGCACTAGATTGCTACTGATGTGCTGAAAATTCAGCCAATTGATCCTCATTAGTCCTACTGCCAACGTACAAAAAGGACCTGATTCATCCCATCTAGCAGTAGGTATTTAATGCAGACATCTGTGTCAGAAGCCAGATCACACTAGTCCTCCTCTGTAGTCCATGAAGAGTAACAAGCATCCCTGAAGATAATTCACCCCGACATCTAACTTGCCATTTCTGTATAAGCCTGTCAGAGGTCAAGACTGCCCTGCATTCACCACTCAAACCCTCATGCTCGTCACCGACCAGTGAGAGCCTGGACGCACTGCCCTGTCACTTCTGAGTCCAATCTCAGTCTCTCATCTCTACTGGCCAGAGTTCAAAATGCAATTTGAAAGCCAAATACAGATTGAACTAAAATTTGAGTTGCCAGAGACCATGCTTACTAAAATCAACCCAATACTGAAGCTTGAGCTTATTTTTAAAACTACATGATTGACACTGATCTGCCCAGATTTAGGGATTATACTCCTAACCAGGGTATCATATTGCCATATCAGTTCAGCAGAAGCTGAGGTCTCTAACTAGTCCTGACTCTCACTGTTACCCTGACTTTACCATTAAATATATCCCTATAAAGACTTCCAGTCCTGCCACATATGGAAGTAGGAATAAGCTCCTGGCTCCTAACTGTCAAAATTCCTAATTCATTTCAGCACATGTACCACAGAAGCAGTGCAGAAAAGCTGCCTTAACAGCAAGGAGCGGCTTTAACTAGAACCCTGCACCTAACCTTTAGGCTCTGCCTACAGCTGTGTCACCGATTGCAGGTTTAAACTGAAGGGTGACTAGGAGAGCCACAGCCCACAGATCACCAAGATCTAGATAGATAATAGACACTATACCCATCTTGTATACAGACTGACATAAACCAAACTCTCTACTGACAGTATTTCTCACAGTTAATATCAAGAGCAGAGTTGTGCTCCTTTTTAAATAGAATACGGTATTTAAAATTAATATGTTCCCTTCCTAAAGTACTAAGAGTAACTTAATTTTCTCGGATTGATTCTATGGACAAGACCTGTATATTTAAGAAAAGGGAAAATGTCCTAATTCTACTTCCCTGCTAAATCCCATCCCGCAAATTCCTGCCTTATTCAGGAAGCCAAACTCACCCTGCTAATTATAAATTCTTCTCTCCCAGTTAGGTAATGGAAATAATAACAAATGACTTAAGTAACTAATTGCAGCTAAATGGCGCAGCTTGTATTGTGGATACCAAGTATTCCATACTGCAAACAGACTCACGAAATATGAAAGAGGAAAGAGCAGTCTGCCTGCACGAACCCCGCAAGCGGAAGAGGTTACGTTCACTGAGCGAAATGCAGCTGATGATAAAAAAAATTATTTGGGACTAATATCAAATGCAATCAATATGTCATCATTCAGAAGCTTTCAGCTCCGGTGTGTTACCTTATTTTCAAGATGCTGTATGAGCTGTTTTCTGCCTTTGTACCACGCTACTGAAAGGTTTTACATGTGGGTAGTTAAAGAGATCTCAGCAAGACCTGCGAGTAGAATATTTCTGTCTGACTTACTCTAAATGCATGCAGAGTGAAAGACCGGACTGAAAGCCGATCACACTGCTTTTACATGTGTCCCGGAGCATCATGTGCAGTCTGCACAGTGACTTTTAAGTGTCATGTGATTATTATGTAGAAACAAGCTAATCTTCGGGGCACGTTACCTTGAGGCTTTCAAAAGGCATAATATATTTTCACGTTACCAATCCTGACTGCAAAGAAAAATGTAATAAAAACTCCAACTAGAAGCACTCCTGGATATGAATATGCTGATCATGGTTTTACACTTTGAAATCCAAGTGCTAGCACATTTAGCTTAGAAATTAGAAGATTCCGGCAGCTAACTAGTCAGGCTACAGCAGGGTAGCAAAGAAAGGAAAGCAACTTCCATTTAACTCCCTAGCTAGCAGATTATTTACAATAGTTCATGGATAAAAGGAGAGAAGGATACCAAACCTCTGCCTTTGCAGTGCAGTATTAAAATACCCCTGTATGCTCATAAGCAGAAGTACAGTTACCATATAAGAGCAGGAATAAAGATTAGATGCACCTTCTGGTAAAGAGGAATGCCCAGCAGTTCAGATGCTCACCTCCGGTTTGCAACACCTGACTTCAATTCCTTGCCGTGCCTCAGCTAATCTGCGTGGTACCAGGAGACCCACTGACTGCCTCTGTGCTTCCTCCTGTAAAATGGTAATAGCAGACCAGCATTAATCCATGGGCATAGCATAAGGAAGCCTGGTGAGAGAGAGAGGTGCTGAGATGCCATGGACATAGCCAGATGTGTAGAGGAGGAGATTTAACAGCTGCTTGCCTTAGGATGCAATGGTCCTGCTCCTCAACTTTCCTTCTTCCTCTTCCTTGCCTGTAGCCCCATTCCCAACCACAGGAATACTTCTGATGCTCTTTCTGGACAATGAAGCCAACTCAACTTGCTAAGCAGCAAAAAGCTATACTTTGTGTTGAGGTTATTTTAGTGCTGCCAAGGTGAGTCAGGTCACTGTATAGTTAGATGACCCTAGAGACAGCACAGAGGACAGCCAGAACTACGCAGCCTGAAGAGGGAGGAACAGAGCAGGGGAGAGCAGCGGGATCTCCCCTCTTCAGCATCAGTAATTTGCCAGACCGGGAGCTACAGCGTGGAACTGCTCTTGACCGATGGGCACCTTAGGCAGCAGTGCACGGGTGCAGAGAACAGCAGAAGCCGTTTATGGCAAGGAGTGGTGACCAAGGCCTGATCCAGCACAGTCACCAGAGCTCCAAGAGACTCCAAGAGATTGACAAAGAGGTCACAAATAATATAACAGAGCTGGAGCTTGAAATTACTTTTTTAAAAAGGAGACTGAATCTGGAGCTGACCAAAAATATAGGCAGGGAAGTTTACTGCCAGCTAAGAAGAATACACTCGCTCTCTCCCTGAACATAGAAGTTATTAAGTCTTGGTTTTGACTGACTGCACAGTGCTACCCCGCCAGAATTGATACTGTTCTTCAGTTTGCTTGCAAATAAAACCATTTTCCTAATCTATTTTGCTTTCATAGCATGCTTCAAGGACAGCCTGTGCATTTGAATAAGGGGGTACCAGGTGGCCACCTTCAGCAAGACAAAGCTTTGGGTCTGTGCAGCGTAACATAGTAAAGACCTTATTTGTTGACTGGATGCCCTTGCATCGAGTGGGGCCCAACAGGATATCCTGGGGCACATTAAGAATTGTTGTTAGCTTCGGACTAGGGTTCCACCAAATGATAACCACAGCGTTGCAATAAATGTGTCGTGATTGTGCGATTTGGTGTGCTTGTCTGCCTTCCAGAACGGCAGAGCAACAGCACATATTGCTCTTATCTCTCACTGTTGTGAAAGCTAAGGCTGCCACCATTTGATGCAGAGAGGCTTTCTAAATCTGAAGCATATCGTGCACCTTGCTGTGGGGGACCGAGATTATATTCCCAATCACCGCTGACTCTGTCCATGAGAGCGCAGTGATATGCATCTGCAACACATTCACTGTCCCCCTCAGTCTTGGGATCAGACCTGGGTAAATATAGTTAAAAGCATGCCCACTTCTCCAGAAAACAGCAAGGACATACATGAGCCTGTTGGCATCACCCCTGCCCACTGTCGACTTGCCAGCCTGAGTGACTAAGCCTTCATCTAAAGCAGGATCCCCTGGGAAGCGCTGCCAGCATGCATACGGAGCACAGCCCATGCTCGTAACTCTGGCTCTGCGGCCAGGTGGCCTAATTGCTCTGCTACCAGGCCCCTATGGGCTGACATAAATTACATTATTAATGGCTGGCTATAGCTGTTGGAACCTGTGAACCAGGTTTATTAAACAGATAAATGCACCACCTTGAAGAAGAATGTATACTTTACCTTTCACGGTACCTTCCCTGCAGTATTTATCCCCAGCTGTGGTGGTGAATTACATTGCATGAAGGCGGCAATCAGATCATAAAACCTGTGAATATTCCTACCCAGTGAGATTAACAGAGGAAGGGAATTGCAACTGCTTACATCGGCAGTACACATTTTTCCAGATGCCCGGAAAAAATGGTGATTACATTTTGTTTTCTCCTTTTAAAAAGATAAATAAGAATATC